GTAGGTATCGTGCTTAGTGATAAACGAGGTCTTTTACTGATCCTCCGGGTTCATCTGTATCTTGTTGTACCCGGAGTAGGCATCGAGAAAACTGAGAGTCTTGTGACCGGCCGTGGCATCGATTATACGATCGATATTAGGCAAAGGAAAAGAATCCTTGGGGTATACTTTATTCAGGTCTTTATAATTTACACACATTCTAAGTTTGTTTCCCTTCTTAGGTACTAACACTACGTTTGCTAACCATTCAGAGTACTTTACTTCCCAAATTGATCCTATTTTGAGAAGTTTGGTTACCTCGTCCTTGATGAAAGCATATTTGACCTCAGACTGGGGCCTTCTTTTTTGTTTCACCGGGCATAATTTAGGGTCCAGGCTCAATTTGTGAGTGGTAATTTCTGGTGGAATCCCTGTCATATCGAGGTGGGACCAAGCAAAGCAATCCGTGTTAGCTTTAAGGAAATGAATAAGTTTTTTCCTGAGCTCGGGGGTTAGCCCCGTGCCCAGGTATACCTTTCGTTCGGGCTAATGCTTGGCCAGTGTGACTTGTTCCAGCTCTTTGACCGTTGACTTGGTAGCGTCGGAGTCATCGGGAATTATGAAGGATCGAGGGATCCAGTAGTCATCATCCTCATCGATCCCTTGCTCCTGCAATTGGGTCGAGGCCGGTGTCTGTGGTTGCTATTTGGCCTCCTGCTTTCTATTCGAATCTGATCCCTTCGTTGATGAGAGTACCGATACCGGTATCACTTCACCGACTGCAAACATCTCCTTGGTGGCGGGTTGCTCCCCGTACACTGTTTTGACTCCCTCCGATGTCGGGAACTTCGAAACTTGGTGAAGGGTCGAAGGTAGTGCCCTCATGTTATGGATCCACGACCTTTCGAGCAGGGCGTTGCACCTCATATCACCCTCGTTCACTTGGAACTTTATTTCTTGGATGGTCCCGACCATGTTCACTGGCAAAGTAATTTCACCTTTGGTGGTTTCGCTTGCCATGTTGAAGCCGTTAAGTACTCGGGATGCGGGTACAATTTGATCTTGTAGGCAGAGCTGTTCTACAACCCTCGATCGAATAATGTTGGCCGAGCTACCTGGATAAATCAAAGCACGTTTAACTTGAATTTTATTCATAAGGACAGATATTACCAATGTGTCGTTGTGGGGTTGTAAGATCCCCTCTGCATCCTCGTCATTGAAAGACAAGGTCCCTTCTGGTACGTAGTCTCGAGTCCATTTTTACCTCGTCATCGACACCTTGGTGCGTTTGAATACGGCCCCCTGAGGAATATCGACCCCTCCAATAATCATGTGGATCACATGTTGCGGCTCTTCTTGCTCATTTTGTTTGTTTGAATCTCTGTACTTGAAGTGGTTTTTAACCCGATCACTTAAGAATTCTCGAAGATGCCCTTCGTTGAACAAACGAGCTACCTCCTCCCTCAGTTGTCTGCATTCTTCTGTTCTATGACCATGGGTGCCATGATATTTGCATATTTGATTAGGATTTCTCTGGGCCGGATCGGTCTGCAGAGGTCGGGGCCACCTCGTGTCTTTGATGCGCCCAATGGCCGATATAATAGCTGACACACCATTATTAAAGTTGTATTCTGATAGTCGTGGTGCTTCTTTGGGTTCGACATTTCTGTCGAAACCGCTCTTACTCATGAGCCCTTGAGAGCTCTGTCATCGATCATTTCTTCTATCAATTCGAACGGGGTTGGGTCCAGGCCCGTTGTTTCTCGGATCCCCACCATATGGCTGATATCGATCTCTGTTTGACAGTGGTTCCTGGTCAATATCCCTTTTAACTCTGTCGATGGTCCTGTTTGGATAAACGGACCCGTAAGAAGCCCCCAACTGGTCATAAACTAGCCGGTATCGATTATGCACATCGGCCCAGGTTACAGCTGGATATTCGATCAAGTTCTGCTTTAACTGCTGTGAGGCTACCGAACTTCATATGTTTAGTCCTTGAGTGAAAGCCCGAACGGCCCAATCGTCGGCGACCGAGGGCAGATCCATACGCTCCATTTGGAACCGAGATACGACCTCTCTTGAGCATCTCGTTGTCTTTCTGTTTTACTTAGAAGAGGTTCGACTTTCTAGTCTCGACCTTTATCGCTCCGGCGTGTGCTTTAATGAAGGAATCTGCGAGCATGGCAAAAGAATCAATGGAGTTAGGTGGCAAATTATGGTACCATATCATCGCCCCCTTTGATAAAGTTTCTCCGAATTTCTTCAGCAGTACGGACTCAATCTCATCGTCCTCTAGATCGTTCCCCATTATTGCGCATATGTAAGATGTGACATGCTCGTTGGGGTCGGTAGTTCTATTATACTTGGGAATTTCTGGCATGCGGAATTTCTTCGAAATGGGCTTAAGAGCCACGCTCGGGGGAAAAGGATTTATACGAATTTATTTGAATCCAAACCCTTCAAAATCGGTGGTGCCCCCAGAATTTGATCAACTCGGGAGTTATATGTTTCTACTTTTTTGTCATTTGCTTCAATCTTCTTCTCCCCCGATTCAATGTACTTTGTCAGCTCCTCAACATTTTCAAGATAGCGGGGTCGGACCCTGACTCATTCACATTTGACCTCCCCGACACTAGTTCGGTCCTACGAACAACTTCCAATGATGGCTCGGGTTTGACCCTACTCGGTTCGTGGTTCTGATTTTGAAGTTATGCTATTGCAGCTTGTTGAGCATGCAGCAATATTATTCGAAGGCTTATTCTGCGTTCTTCGCTGCCTTGTGCGTTCTGACCGGCTGATCAAACGTCTCCGCGGATGCTAATTTCGGGGTCGATGCCCCGATTTTCATTCAGGGCAACATGGGAACTGACGTCGATGGGGTTTGCAACTGGTACTCCCTCGAGGTCAACTGGAGGCACTTCGTTTCCTGGGGCGGCTACGTTGTCATTTTCACCATGAAAACCAAGGCCATTATCTATGTGTGTGGGTACTGCTCGAGAGTTCGACATGCTGATCCTGGAATCAAAAATGCTTACAAGAACAAGTGTAAAACAATTAGCACGAGGCAATCACTATTATCCTTAGCCCCACGGTGGCGCCAAACTGTTTACCCTTAAAATCGGATAACAATTAAATTCATAAGTGGTTTTAAGGATATGTGATTTCACTTGGCACAAACTGAGAAATATGAGAATTGAAGTTAAAAATTAATTGTAAAATGAAGCAAACCAATGTAATACACAACTTTGACCCTCGAGCTAGGTCGCCCTCGAATCAACTGAGTATATTATTAAAAAGCAAGAACTGAACAACTGAATAAGAGAGCTTAAGAGAGAAAACGTAATATATTGCTTTGTTATACGTGAATGTCCCCCTTACAAAATGATTGGAACCCCTTTATATAGTAGAGGAGTTCTATATATGGTACAATTCTAAATACAGAAAGAAATCTCCTAATTGGCTAATCAACCGGTCATGACTTGATATATGTCGAGATCTCCGCCACAATCCTCGTCCGATCACGGATTCCTCGACTTCTGTTATTCGACTTAACAGGCTTCCTTCGATCTCGCTAGATCTCTATCCTTCTCGGTCTCGATTAACCATACAAAATCACCGTATACAGTCTACAAGTATGATGTACAAAATGCAGAGTTCAATCAAATGATTCAAAAGTATATATATATATAACATATAATACATCGACTATAAAATAAGATAAAATCAAATTATTTCTAAAATATAAGTACATATAATATTTTCATCACTTTAAATTCGATTATTATGCTAATGTAATAACATTAATTAAAACATTAATTTTTATTAATTAATTTACGTGTCATTATTATCGTGCAACACACATTAATAGAGACTAATATATATATTTGCATTGAACTTTTAAAAGAAAATTGTTGCATCAGATATACATGTACAATAAAAAAAACCAGGTAGTTCCACACAGGGGCGGACCCACGTAGGGTCAAGAGGGTTCAAATGAACCCGCTTCGTCGAAAAATAATACTGTATATATAAGTATATTTTATATTTCTAAGAACGTTTTATGTATAAAAATTATTTTGACCCCGCTTAAAACATTGATGACGAATAGCCTGTTGGCAAAGTGGGTTCAAATTTTTCCCAAGGTCTTGAGTTCGAAACCAGTCAGAATTATTTTATTTTAATACGTATTTCCTATTTAAATACGACGTCGTTTATGTCTAAAATACAGTGACCCAACCCATTCCCAAACTACCAGCCCCAATTCCGAAACCCTTCTCTATTTCTCTACATATTTCATAAAAAATGCTTGTTGTCTCTCTCTCTCTCTCTCTCTCTCTCTCTCTCTCTCTCTCTCTCTCTCTCCCTCCCCTTTCTCTCTCTCTCTCTCTACTGAATCTTTTAGTTCAATTTCAAGGTCATATTGCTTCCTTCCATAGCTGTCTCTTGCCATTAGCCTCTCACTCTCTCACCATCAACTATCACCATAAGGTTTCTCTCTGATTTCTATTTTTTTTTTCTTGTACATATAAATTAGGTCTATCTTATCAATTATCATTAAGTGATTTAGGGATGACTAATTGACTATAACACATTGAATTCAGATTAATTTTGTTTTCTAAGTGTATGAGTGTATTATGTATATGTGTTTGGCTAACTGCATTATATAGGCGTTCCTTTCAATTAACTCAATTATTCTATGATATAAATAATCTGCTTTAAAATACTTGCCCATCACTAGAATTTGCATTGCTGATTTTTTTATTTGTTCTTTTTGTTGCTTCAAGAAAAATTATGATGAAAATAATAACTCTTGTAAAGACATTTTGAACTTTCAAAGTTGTGGTCCAAAGCTATTTAATGATGATTAAAATCTCATCTAACTGTTTTATAATATAATGATATGTAAAATAAAAGAAAATTAAATTATTGGTGAAGAATGAATAAATATTAGTTTAAATTTAAGTTTAATTAAATTATTCTTCTAATTCGAATTCTAATTTGGTAATCCAGTTTATGTTTCAATGAAGAGATTTTATCCTCCGGTATCTTCCAAGTTGCCACAATCAAGTTTATCCTCTCTAATTGTTACTCCCGTGGAAGAAAATTTGAACCAATTAGTAGAACAACCTCAATCCTCTAAAAAACAAAGACAAGGAATAGATCTTGATTCTTTAAAGACTGATCCAAAGGAGAGATTACCCATTAGAGACTTTCATCCAAATGAGAGTGATGAGATTAGAAGAGAATACCTCCGAAGAGGTCCTTGCCAACCTCGATATCATAAGTTTCCTCAAAGAGATTTTTCGGGCTTAAAGCGTCGTTTCAATCCTAAATGGTTTAAAGGATATCATAATTGGTTAGAGTATAGTGTGATTGAAGATGCAGCTTACTGTTTGTATTGTTACTTATTTCAAGATGAAGGCATTCATCAAGGTAGAGGTGATGTATTTTCAAGTTTAGGATTTAAGAGCTGGCACAAAAAGAACAGATTAGATATGCATGGGTCCAGCAGTATTCATAATCAGGCAAAAAGGAAATGTGAAGATCTATTAAAATAAAAACAGTCAATTCAAACTCCATTTGATAGGCAATCCACTCAAACCAAGCTCGAATACAAAATTCTCTTGAAGACTTCAATTGAGGTGGTGAGACTCCTATTGAATCAAGGATTGGCATTTCGTGGACATCGTGAAGATGAATCATCATTAAACAAGGATAACTTTCTTGAGATTCTTTCATGGTATGCAGAGAGGTGCGATAAAATTCGTGATCTTGTGTTGAAAAAGGCTCCAAAGAATGATCAGTTGACTTCTCATAAAATTCAGAAAGACATTATCATTGCATGTAAAATTGAAACAGTTAAAGCAATTATGGACAATCTAAATGGAGACCTTTTTGCATTGCTAGTTGATGAATCATGTGATGTATCACGCAAAGAGCAATTAGCTATTATCATGCGATATGTTAATAGATGTGGATCTGTGGTGGAGCATTTTATTGGGATCGTTCATGTTAATAATACTACTGCTTTGTGTTTAAAGAAAGCAATTGTTGATTACCTTGCTCAACATTCTTTGAGTTTATCTTATGTGCGTGGACAGTGCTATAATGGAGCAAGCAACATGCAAGGGGATTTACGTGGCCTCAAAACTTTGATTCAATAAGAAAGTAAATCTGCTTATTCCATTCATTATTTTGCACACCAACTTCAATTGACTCTTGTTGCAGTATCCAAAAAGTATCTTGAAGTGGGAGAACTTGTATTATTGGTTTATAATGTATTGAATATAGTGGGAGATTCTTTTAAACGTATGGATGATCTTCGAGAATCTCAAGCAGAAAAAGTTCAAGAGGCATTAGACATGGGTGAACTTGAAACTGGTAGGGGTTTGAATCAAGAACTTGGTCTTGCTAGAGCTGCAGATACTCGTTGGGGTTCGCACTACAAATCTTTTAAGAACTTTATTTCTATGTTTGGCTCAATTATTGATGTTCTTGATACTATCGTTGTTGATGCCCGGACTTTAGAAGAAAGATCTAAGGCAAAGGGATATCTTAGCAGTTGTCAAACATTTGAGGTTGCTTTCATGTTGCACATAATGAGAGATGTATTGGGGATCACAAATGAGCTTAATACATCCTTATAAAAAAAGGAGCAAGATATTGCAAATGCTATTCTACTTGTTGAAGTGGCAAAGAGACGGTTGCAAAAGCTAAGAGAAGAAGAATGGGATTCACTTATTGATAAGGTATCTGCATTTTGTGTCAAGTATAATATTTTGATACCAAACTTTGATGACCTCTATGTTAACTCTAGAAGATCTCGACATAAAGTTGCTGATTATACTATTTTACATCACTATCGTGTTGATATATTTTTTAAGATTATTGATTGGCAAGTTCAAGAACTCAATGCTCGTTTTAATGAGGTGACAACGAACTTGCTTGTTGGAGTAGCTTGCTTAAATCCAGTTGACTCATTTTCCAGTTTTGACATAAACAAGATATTGAGGATGGCTGAATTATATCCTGATGATTTTGATGAGAATATAACGGTTACACTCAAGAATCAGCTTGAAACTTATATTGTTGATGTTCGTGATGTTCATGAAAGGTTCTCAAATCTACAAGGACTTGTTGATCTTTCTGAAACACTAGTTAAGACAAAGAAGTATTTGAATTATCCATTTATGTTTCGCCTAGTGAAATTTGCTTTGCTTCTACCTGTTGCCACTGCTACCGTTGAAAGAACTTTTTCGGCGATTAAGTTGATCAAGAGTGAATTACGAAACCGAATGAATGACGAATTCATGAGCGATTGTTTGGTACCTTATGTAGAAAGAAAAATATTTAACACCATTTCTGATGAGACTATTATGAATACGTTTCAGGAAATGAAAACTCGTAGAGGACAGTTGTAATGATATATTTTATTAATATATTTTTTTGTTAACCTTTTTTATATATTTGCTTCTTTGTATTTTGAACCCGCTTAATAAAAATCCTGGATCCGCCACTGGTTCCACATGCTAACAAAAGGAAACCATGGCAGTACATTAAACATACAAAGTGATCATGATGTCATGTATTCTGTGAACTTGCAAAAAGAATGGTTGAGCTAGAGATAATACGAATAGTCCATTATCACAAATAACGGTGTCTATTGAACAGATATACATTGTTAAGTTTGTACAGATTAAAACGGTTTCAATCAATAAGCAGTCGTAATTTAACCTGTCTTAATTGGCTAAGGTGAGTGAATTACAACGGGCAGTAACTTAATCTATCCAACTTAATTGTGCAAGTCAGAAAAAACATCTCAAAATAATCACCATTAGGTATCAAATTGGTGCATGGGTCAAATTTGGACGTGTTGACAAGTTGAATGTATTACATTTTTTGAAAAATTACACCATATAGTCGCTGTAAAAATAATAACCGAAAAAATATATAAAATTTATATATTTTTTTTGTATATATATACATTCTGTATGTGCTATATAAAAATTATACAAATTTTATAAAATTTTTCGACCACCAGATGTAAAAAGTTTCTGGTGCGGGCTAAAAATGATAATAAATATATTTTTTGGGTTAAACTTAACACCCCAAATTAGAGGGAATATGTCTGTTTAAGATAAGATAAGTTTGTTGAAGATTCCTTGATTATGAGCAGAATATTATTGCTTGCGGATATTTGATCAGGGGTTACGAACACCAAAAAATTTCTGGAAAGAGAACCTTTTCTAATTTTAAATTTTATTAGATATACAAAGAAAGGAGCAGAGGAAGTAATATGGAAGAGCGAAACTCATATCTATTGCGAAAAAAAAATAATATCGTTTGATACTATCAAACACTTACTTTCCCAAGTAATTCATGTGCCGTCAATTTCTTTCCCTATCTTATAGTTATAGGATTCTGATTATGGAGTTTTGGCAGTTGCGCACTCATTCGAGAGAAAAATGGCTTCGGATTTGGGGCTAATATGTATATACTTATTAAAAGAAGGCCTATACACCATAGGTATGGACCGCCCTAACACAAGTAGGACTATATCTTTTCCCTTGTGGATCTGTGGTCCTGAAAATCATATACTGCTGTTACAATAATCGAAACTTTTGGATTTAGTTGAGCTAGTTGCTGCATCCATAAAATAAGTTACAAACATTCTGTATTAGAGGAGTATCTGTGGCAGAAGTCAAGACAAATTAAAGAATCAGCTGCTTTACCCTGGTTTATGCTTGTGAATTGTGATAGAAAAAAGAAAAGCACTACATATCAAGGATTTAAATGGCGATATTTGACACGGCACAACTATTTTTAAAAAATTAGACTTTTAAAATTTTTGATCTAAAATAAACCGTAAATATTTGTATGGCGGCAAATCATCCCATTAAAGGCAAAATAGAAAATTTAAGTTAAATTATTTTTAAATAAAAAAATATGGTATTCTTTTTAGGATAAATTATAAAAAAGTATGACACATAAATTGGTAAAAAAAAAGTATATAGAACACTATCAGTGTAGTTTAGTTTAATACTGTAAGAACATTACTATGTAAACGTTTATAATAGAGATTTACATATAACTACTTTTAAGTAACTGATTATGTAAATATTGTGAGCACTGTCACTCTTATAGCTTAGCTCCTTTGGCCATAAATTTTTGTTACTTTTTTCAAAAAAAATTTCGAAAACACTGTTTGTTCATGAAATATAAAAATTGAAAAAATAAATTCAAGTTCTCAAAAACTTGTTTAGGGTAGTTTTTGAGTGAAATATTTTCTTCCACTCACAAAATTTTAACTTTTTTCAAATGAAATGCATGTCCAAACACAACTTCAACTTCCAAAAATTATTTTTCAACACAATTTCAAAAATATTTTTTTTCAAGTTTCAACCAAATCTATATCCAAACGCTAGCTTAAATTCACGCATCAAAGCACGAGTGATTTTAAAAAAACGTGTGCACTTGGGTCAGTATTGATCACATTGCAGTGCTTCTATCCATACTACAGCCCACTCTGAGCCCATGCTATTATTGCAGCAATTTCACCTCCATGAGAAGAACGAATTGGGCATGGGAAATGGGAAATGTGTGTTCCTGCGAAGCCAAGGCCCAAAACAGACATACTCCAATCCAATACATATTTGCATAGAATTACACATTTTACATATAAAGAAGTTGATTTTGCAGCGTTAGATTTAGGCATCAAGTTGTAGTTCTGCTTTTGCTTTTGGATTACAGAGCTGCAGTCCAATGCAGAAAAGTGAGCAGCTGCCACCAGAATTAACAGGAAAGAGAGCCCAATATCATTATCACGTACGATATCGACGTTAGCTAGTTGTTGCTGGATGTATGTACTCTTAGGCCACTTGATGCAACAGAATAGGTGCAGTCCAGCCCATTGTCTTTTACCCTTTTAAGTAGTAAATTTGGAAAAAAATATTTCAGTACAATCTCAATCTGCCATTCCCCTCATATCTGTTCTCTTATAGAAAGGGACTAATTAATTAGTATATGGAGTAGTTAATTAGCACCATATTGTGTTATACGTTCTTTTCTTATTTACATTATAATCTTTATAGTTTTAGATGTTTATATCAATAAATTAAAATAATGTCATTGTATAACATTTTCACAAGTTTCAAAAGTTCAAATTCTTTTTAAGTAATCAAACTTAAGTGTTAACCTTTTTTTGTTCATTATTCTAACTTCTCCGCTATCATTTTAATCACTTTTTTTCTTCTATTTTTTCACCGCACAGCTTTTATACGCGATGATATATATTAGGGAACATTACAATTTACTCCCCTTACTTCCCATGAGTACTATTTAACTAAAGCAAGAATCTCGCCCACCAAACATCATATCTTTCATCATCCATTTGAAATAATAGTCACCAAAACGATGGAAAGTAATAGATGCCTTGTTTTTCTGTTTTTGTCTTTGGTTTTCATTGGGCCCAGGACCGTTTTATGTGAAAGGACAAGGGACGGTGTTCAAAGAACAAGTACCAAATGGTGCAAAATCACATGAATAAAAGCATAAATTTCAAAGGTGTGTCTAAATTCAAGTCGCTCCTAATCGTACTGAATACTTTTGCTGCCCCCCACCATACACGTCAGCTACAATTCATTTAACGTGTGTCACGATCCGAGAAATTTGACTACCAAATTGGTATTCTCTCGAATACTCAAATGGGACACAGTCAATTCTTCAATTCATTAGTAAATTTTAGTTTGATTGTTTCCTTAATGGTTATTAATATTCCTATCATTACTTTTACCGCTCCCTCTTTGAAAAAGCAAAAAGCGTGTTCTCTAATAAGTATTTACAAGTGCGACATTCAATTCTCACCAACCTTTTTCATTTTCTTCCTCTTATTTGAGCCTTCCTCACTCCAAAAAGGAAAAAAAGATAAAAGAAGAAACAAGTGTAAGATTTCTAACTATACACCGTGCCCTGGCATGTGCAAGTTATAAAAAGTGCATTTGTATGTTATCTATGTCGTAGTACATGTTTAAGGCTAAGATGCTTGACGTGAGGGATGAAATATATGGGAATTTCTGAAACCTTTTCAATGCAATATGCTATACGTAATAAGTTTAACTACCTATTAGTTGTACTATTAAAGTAGCTTTCAAAGCTAAGCTACAGATTTGCTTTTGCCGATAAGAAATTTCTACATTTTTATCAATTCTTTGTCTTATATCAGCTGTGATGTGATAAGCAGAAAACGTCTCAAACACGTTCATTAGCCCTTTTAGTTTCCATTAGTACGTTGACCTCAAATGCAAATTCCAAAAAAATATAAGGGGATTTCAAAGAACCATATGAATTGAATTTGCATTTTTTTGTCATTCCCTGCCGAGTTAAAATACGGTAAAACTTTTTCTAATTTAAAAAGTTAGCATTTTACTTCCTATCGTGCTTCCATCTGTTATTGTTTAAATACCTCATTGAAAAGGTATTACCTTTTAGAACCTCAAAGGAACTGTAAGCGTATTTCCATACCACAAAGTAATTAAATTAACTAAAGGTATTTTTTTCCAGAAAGCATAGGGATTATATGCTTTTTGCCATTTTTAATAATTAACTATCTTTATCTCATAATAAGAGGCATGTATTCTATCTCGGCGCACGTTTGCTAACCTGCGTCGGCCATGGAAGAGGGCATGCATGCCGTCACAGAAAGCTCTTCAAGCTCAGACGATGTCTACACAAGGTAATGCCCTTCGAGGGCAGAAGAATAAGGAAGCTATAGCCATACAGGAAAGAGATTCGATCGGAAATCAATAAAATAGTAACTCGTCCAAAAGAGAGTGAGCAGATATCCCAAATTCAAGCTCAGAATTTATGGAACAATGTCGTGCAAGCTTCAACAAGTGCTGGGGTACAATCCCCAACAAGTAGTGGGAGAAAATCATGGGCAGATATGATGGATGAAGAAGAAAGGATAGAACCAGTGAAGAAACCATCTATTTGGGATAATTTTGACATCTCGAAGGTGTCAAATGTCGGATTCAAATTGGAGTATGTTGCTCCTTCCCTGCATAGTGATTCTCCGATCATTGACATTGAATTAGAAGATATTAGCTCTGAAATTGATTATTGGAAGACGGCAATGGTGTGTTATGTTCTAGGTGCACACCCACCTTTTGCTGTGTTACAGGGGTATATCTAAAGGATGTGGGCAAAGCATGGAATCAATAAAATTGCCATGTTAAAAAATAAAATTCTTCTAGTCTGATTTGATTTTGAGGTGGGGAAAAAATGATGTAATTCAGTGTGAGATCTATCACTTTGATAATAAACCCTTCATTGTGAAAGTTTGGAGCTCTGAAATAGAGTTTACAAGAGATGAATTGTATACAGTACCAATCTGGATCAAATTTTCTGGGCTTGATTTCAAATG